CGCGTCGCTTCTTGCCGCGCGGCAAGCGTTTCCGCGTCCTGTGGACAGAAGCCAATGCGACCGGTCGAGATTCCACTATCGGCGATAAAGCCATCGACTCGCGTTGGCACGATCCAACGTCATCACGCGACTGGTTGTTACTAACCTCTCGCTGTTCGTCGCTCAGCCCGAAGACGTTCTCGTCGATCTTGTAATAGCTCGATGCGCGGCACGCGCCGATTTTGCCGGCGCAATTCGCGAGCGACCGCGAAACAAATGTGCAGCGCGCCAGGAACATTCTGCTTCTTTTAATCTTCTTATCAATTGATATTGAGAATATTTCCGAGGAACAGCGATTTACACTCCGCTCACTGCCGAAAAAGGAACACTGGACATGAGAATTTTATATTATTTGTAAGAAAATTAATGGAATTCGCGTTTATTATATGCGGAAAATAATCTCGATTATCGAAAAAATCGAAGAAGATGAACTCGTGTGGATGGAGATATCACCGTTGAGAAAACTGCGTGGAAATGCTGACGACATGTATACATTTATGACACTCGAACTGAGTGGGGACTTGAAGACAACCAACCGAACCAACCAATGATGTATTAATTATCATTATGATAACGCTTGCGCCATTTTATTATTTTTCTGTATTACTTGCTCGACGGGACCCGGGGTCATCAATAGAATCTCTCGAGGCTCAAGGCTTTCTTTTTCTTATATCAAATTGCATTAATATAGTGCAGTTAGTTACATATTATGATAACGAAATAAGGATTCAATTTTTGTACATATATAAAATTAATAATTTAAATACTGAGGTGTTATGATTGTTAATTAACCCAATTTAATATTTCCGCAGATCACTATTAATCGATGACTTGTGTACGCGAAAAAAGATTTTATTGTCGTTATTTATCTATTCACGAATAGACATAAAGATCGCGCGCCAACAACATTCAATCCTGAATTTATATTGTTATAACGAAATTATACGAAGACTGTAATCTCGACTGTATCATACACATATTGCTGTACGTACAATCGATATAGTGTGTGTAAACGGATAACGATACAATAATATTTGCGTAATATGTTTACGATTGCTCGAAATATTCCTTTACACGCGCTTTATAAATTCATAAATCTTACTATAATTTTTTATAATCTTTTATCTCATATCGATCTCCTCGATTTCTTTTGTGCAAAAGATACGTACATACTTTTTCTTTATGAACGCATTAAAAATAAGTAATTAATATAATTTATTTTTTTTATTTTAAGCGCAAATTCTAAAAAATAGAAATATATTAAATATATGTACTTCGCATAACTTAAAAGTTATGAAGTATATATATTAAATATATTTCTCACATACTACGTTTACGCGAGCGTTACTTCTGTAGTAACTTACGATAATTCCTTCGCGTAAACGGGATTTTGTAGTAACTTACGATAATTTACTCCGCGTAAACGAGTGATATATCGTAAAGTTACTACAGAAATAACGCTCGCGTAAACGTAGTAATACTATATAGTATCTGATATTTTTTATGTGCACGTGTAAATAAATTTTAGAGAAATTTAACAGTTAATAAGTTTTATCAATATTTAAATTTAATTTATATTTGTAATTTATATTTATTTTTCTTATCAAAATAATGTTTAAATTTCGTTGTTGATGCAATAAAGAGGTAATAATATCGATCAAAATAAATCGCATAATGTTTAATTCTACTTTAATTGTATATAATATAAAAATGTAAAAATGTGGAGCTATAAAAAATTAGACAGCTTATATTTTGATTAATTTAGGACTGTAATAATTTTTAGCAATATTATTGCAATATTTTTTAAATTATAAACAATTGGAAAGATAAAGTTTTATGTGATTCAAGTTTTAAAGAGAAAAATAAATAACGCAGCTGTTTATATCAGAAATATTTTAAATATGCATAACAACATGATAACTGTTGTATTAAAGATCTTATTATCGACGATTGTGTATTGGGAGCTTTTCCAGCAAGCGACACAAGTCGACACAAGTGTCGTTTTGTCTTTGTTACTCATTGCCAAAAAAAGAAAGATAGAACGACTTTTGTGTCGACTTGTGTCGCTTGCTGAAAAGCTTCCATATGTAGATATAACGCGGAATAGAAAGAAATAGAAATTCATATAAGAACAATATACTTATACCCACTGGAAAGTTTCACGGATATGGCTACGTAGTTCAATGTCCACGTTTTGTAGCTGTGGAGGCGGTGGAGGCGTTATCGCGCCTAGCGGTCGATAAAGTCACTGGATTGTCTATCTAGTGACTTTAGCGATCGAACTAAATTAACGTTGCTAGCAGTGCCGAATTGCCGAATTTGTTATACCGGTTGCACGTTGCACGTTATTGACGTTGTTTTGAGCTTCTCTCGGAGCACGTGGACGACTTTGCCGAGTAGAGCTGAACTTGTAGAAGAGAATTAATATATTCATTAAATGTGACTTCCGTAATCGTAAGGAACGGAACGAACGAGAGAAATGGAGGCAAATATATAGCGTTTCGTTATTTTTAACTCGTATACTGTACATATACATACACTCCGAAGCATAGGATTTTAATCCATTCGAATGGATATTACATCCTTCTTTTTCTATTCTCTTTTTCCCTTGTTTTTCTTTTAATAATTGCTATTGGATAAATTTGGCCCCTACGCCATTTCAGGCTTCTACTCCTCAAAATATACAAAATGTATGAATTCTAGAAAGATTGATGATATAATTACTATATGTTTACTTCTATGAGTCTTTTTTTCTCACGTGCTATGGATCTGCAAATAATTATTGTTAATTATTAAATATTATTATCAGGATAAAGGGAAATTAGTGGCGGCATTTCTTCGGAAAAAAGGTTTAGTAAAGCAGCACATAGATTCCTTTAACTATTTCATCAATGAAGAGATAAAAAACATTGTTAAGGCAAATGAAAAGATTCAGAGTGACGAAGATCCACATTTTTATCTGAAGTAAGAGCAATGCCATATACAAGATGCCAGATGCAATCGTATCGTAGATTAAACAATTTTTGTTTTCTCATATACCAGATATTTAAACATAGAAGTAGGCTTGCCTGAAGTTCCAGAAACTCCTACAATTATGCGGCCAACCACGCCACACGAATGCCGTTTAAGGGATTTAAATTATTCTGCCCCAATTTCAGTGGATATTGAATACGTAAGAAATAACGAGCGAGTAATAAGGAACAAGGTGGTCATTGGAAAGTAAGAACAATGAGAATAGAACACAGAAATAGATATATCAAAATTATTAAGATATATACTTATACATACGATTCTAAATGTTCACAGGATGCCAATAATGTTGCGCAGTTCTAACTGTGTGTTAACTAACAAGTCCGAGGCTGAATTAGCCAAAATGAATGAATGCCCGCTTGATCCTGGTGGTTATTTCATTATAAATGGCCAGGAAAAAGTTATATTAATACAGGAACAAATGATTAGGAACAGAATTATTTTAGAAGAAGACAGCAAAGACTGCGTTGTTGCGTCGTGCAACAGTTTTACCCACGACAAAAAGACCAAGACAAACGTTGTGGGTAAAGCTGGAAGATATTACTTAAGGCACAATATGTTTCAAGATGACATACTGATTACCGTCATTTTCAAAGCTATGGGCATAATAAGCGACTTGGAAATCATGCAAATGGTCGGAACGCAAGAAATATATTTGAACAAATTTGCAGCTAGCCTGGAGGATTGTCAAGAACTGGGCATCTTTTCGCAGAACCAAGCATTGAAATATCTCAATAGCAAACGGCGACAGACGAGATTTCATTCCATTACAAAAGTCCGTGTCACTGATGAGATGAAAGATTTATTAGCGACAAATATATTGTCTCACGTACCTGTTGTCGATTTCAGTTTTAGGCCGAAAGCGCTGTATCTCGCCTTGATGATCAGAAGAGTTATAAATGCGCAGTCTGATCGCAGTCTGATCGACGACAAGGATTATTATGGTAATAAACGTCTGGAACTGGCTGGTTCCCTTCTTGCTCTTATGTTTGAAGATCTGTTTAAAAGATTCAATTGGGAGCTCAGACAGATTGCCAATAAGAATATTCCCAAGATAAAAGCAGCACCGTTTGATATAGCTAAACATATGAGACAGGATTTGATTACCAATGGACTGGCTTTCGCTATCTCATCGGGTAATTGGACAATCAAGAGATTTAGAATGGAGAGACACGGTGTGACGCAGGTGTTATCGAGACTTTCATACATCTCGGCGCTTGGTATGATGACACGAGTCCATTCCCAATTCGAGAAAACCAGGAAGGTCTCTGGTCCGCGATCGTTGCAGGGCTCGCAATGGGGCATGTTGTGCCCGAACGATACACCGGAGGGAGAATCCTGTGGCTTGGTGAAGAATCTGGCTTTGATGGCTCACATCACTACGGAAGTGCCGGAGGAGCCGATAATAAAATTGATGCTTAATCTTGGTGTGGAGAACATTCACACTCTCGCTGGGGAAGAGCTAACTATGCCAAATATATACACAGTTTTTGTGAATGGTATCATGGTAGGCATCGTGCAGAATTATCAGAGACTGGTGCGTCAGTTCAGATTATTACGCAGGAAGGGATATATTAACAGTTTCGTATCGATACATGTCCAAAATCGACATAACTGCATTCAAGTCAGTTCCGACGGCGGGCGATTGTGCAGACCGTGCATCATCGTTAAGAATGGAAAATCTCTTGTTAAACAGAAACACATAGAGGATCTTGATCGAAATATCATAACATTTGAAGATTTTATTTATGATGGTAAATAATTTACATTTGTTTTATTGCATATATATATATATACATACACACACACACACACACACACACACACACACACACACACACATATATATATATATATACATATTCTCAGTTGTATAATTGTTCTGTTGTTTACTGCTTTCAGGATTGATTGAATATTTAGATGTAAACGAAGAAAATGATAGTTTAATCGCATGTACGGAATCTGAAATCAACGACGACACAACGCATCTGGAAATCGCAGAGTTCACGGTGTTGGGAGTGTGCGCAGGATTGATACCATACCCTCATCACAATCAGAGCCCGAGAAATACTTATCAATGTGCCATGGGTAAACAGGCCATGGGGGTCATAGGATACAATCAACGTAACCGCATTGACACTGTGATGTACAATCTGGTATTTCCGCAGAAACCTATAGTGAAAACTCGTGCGATCGACTTAATCAATTATGATAAATTGCCAGCCGGCGAAAATGCGATTGTCGCAGTGATGTCATATAGCGGATATGATATCGAGGATGCATTGGTTTTCAACAAAGCTTCCATTGATAGAGGATACGGGAGATGTATAGTGTATCGAAACGCGAAATGTACATTAAAGAAATATCCTAATCAAACGTACGACAGAATCATGGGGCCATCGATTGATGCTAATACTAAGAAACCTGTACCGAAGCATGAAATTCTTGACAGCGATGGGATTGTAGCGCCTGGTGAAATGGTGGAAAATAAGACTGTAAGTATCTCTTGTTTGAGAGAATGATGTTAAATATTTCATTTTATTTAATATTATTCATATGCAGATAATGGTAAACAAGTCAGTACCGGTGCCGAGTGAGAATATCGGCCCGGTGCATCCTGGCAATGTACAAATGCAAACGGAATATCGGAACGCGGAAATCCAATTCAAAGGCTTGGTCCCAGCATATGTGGAAAAAGTTATGATATCTAGTAACGCGGAAGATGCCTTTTTAGTAAAGCTGTTACTGAGGCAAACTCGGAGACCGGAGATCGGTGATAAATTCAGTAGTCGCCACGGACAAAAGGGGGTTATAGGTATAATTCCGATATTTTCGCGTTATACACGATGTAAGAGAGACGTATTAATCTTCGATAATGTTTATTCAGGTTTAATCGTAGAGCAAGAAGATATGCCGTTTAATGATCAAGGCATGTGTCCCGACATAATTATGAACCCACATGGATTTCCTTCAAGAATGACTGTTGGTAAATTAATAGAGGTACTTGCAGGCAAAGCTGGTGTCGTGAATGGAAAATTCCAGGATGCAACAGGTACATCTTAAAAGATAACGACTGATCCATTTGATCAATTTAATCTTACTATCTATTTTCGTCTACTTTTAGCGTTCGGTGGTGCTAAAGTGGAAGACCTCTGCGAAGAATTGGCGAAGAATGGCTACAACTATTTAGGTAAAGATTTCTTTTATAACGGCATGTCTGGAAGACCGCTGATGGGATACATTTACTCTGGACCAGTAAGTTTTTTCTCTAGACTAAAAAAAATTAGTGTTAAGAAATTTATTTTAAAAAAGAAAAGTAAATATACAATTTTACTTTTTTTTTTTATAAAGAGCAGATACATTGTTGAAAAGCGTAATTATGTTTTAAAAATTTTACTCATCTTAATTAAAATGATAATAGAATACTTTGATATAGTTATATTAAAATTTTCAAATTCTCTTATTTCCTAATAAAGTAAGGATTTATGCCTTTTTCCCAGATAACTGATACAATTTATAACGTTTAACAATTATAGATAACTAAATGAATATATTTGATGTTTTTCGTATGACATTTAAAATGTGATTTGTAGGTTTATTACCAAAAATTAAAACATATGGTGCAAGATAAGATGCACGCTCGTGCCAGGGGACCAAGAGTAGTCCTAACACGTCAACCAACAGAAGGACGGTCTAGGGAAGGTGGCCTACGATTGGGTGAAATGGAGCGTGACTGTCTGATCGGTTATGGAGCTAGCATGTTATTAGTAGAGAGACTCATGATATCGAGTGATGCTTTTAAAGTCGACGTTTGTAACAAATGCGGGCTAATAGGGTACAACGGTTGGTGTCAGAGATGCAAATCAAGCTCTTCTGTCTCTACGATAATAATGCCTTATGCTTGTAAATTATTGTTCCAAGAGCTGCAATCCATGAATGTAGTACCTCGTTTGTCCCTGAAAGACTATTGTGACTGATTGTATATTATAATAGAAATAGAAATGTAATAAAAATGTAAATAAACATATTTCAAGAATTTTAAAAGGATTTCAGATATATTAACAGTTTAAGTTTGGTTCACTGCATAGACATAGTGTTCAAGAGATTTCAGATTTATTTAAATACAGAGTAGAAACAATATTTGCCATGAACCTATTGCAAGTTAGTCAGGTTATATATATAAATAAACTAGTTTTATACATTTTGGAAGACATACACGTTGGTCTTTGGGGTTTGATCTTTGGAAAAACCTCCACATTATTGTAAATGCTATTTAACAAGTACTTATATAGTTATACAGTAAGTAAATGGATTCTCAAAACTATTTACCATTTAATCTCTTTCGTTCACAACTCTCAACTCTTTAATTAAGCTCCTATAAACTGAGACATGCGTAAATTGGAACCGAACCTGAAACCCGCTGATTGCGAGTTTTCGCTCCTATACCATGCCACGCGTCACACATATCTTAACAAGTGTTTAATTACTAAGATAACTTTACATAAACTATACATGCATATATAGTTTTATGTAACTGTACGTATATTCAAGAAAATTAAAAAATATATATTTTTCTTTTAGTAAGCAACACTTAAGCATTTCTCTTAACTACTACTCTTAACTCCCCACAACATACTTCATGTATATTATAAAGATTCCGCAAGCAAACGAATTTCTGGATTTTCAATACTGTTTTTACTTTGTACGAGTCGTAATTCAATTTTTCTAGCCCGTTGTGCTTCGGTATCCGTATACACTGCAAATAATTGTTTGTGTTAACAATAATACTAAAATATTTTTCCGCGTTAAATGTCATAAATCACCTTTAGAATATTCATACGTATTAAGCAGCACGCTATACAGAGAATTTATAGTTTTTTCCATGGTGGCTTTCATGTCACTTTGCAAGTATACATGAGCAAGAAATAGTGCGGCAAAGAGATCTCCGGAACCCGTGAAAGTTGCTGGTATTTTAGGAATGTCTACTTTCATCAACGTGTTATCTGAGAAAAAAAATGTAATGTAAAGCCATGATTATTTCGAAGTTTGTCTTATCTTGCAATGCATGATCAACCTTTCGCGGTGCTCACTACTGCTGTCAGTTTATCACTGAGCTCAGTTGACGATACAGCTACAGTTTTTGGTCCCTTCTGATGTAACTTTTTAATCGCATTTTGCAGTTCGTTCATATTAGTGACTTTTTCATCTGTAAGTAATCTGAAAACAAATAAAAGCAATTTATAAGTGATCACAAGGAGAATGATTCATTTCTAAAAATTATTGACAATTTATACATATAATTGCAATAATGATCAATGTATTGGAACATATGTTAAAATCAATAATATCATACGTACTCTAATTCAAACTGGTTTGGAGTTACTACATCCGCCAATGGCACTACCTCCTGTTTGTAAATTTCTTTCAATGCTTCTGGGACATACATCTTGCCATTGTCGCCCATAACAGGATCGCAAACTAATATTGAACAAGTATAATAAATATGATTAATAAAAAAGAATTTAATTGCATGAAAATTACTGTTGATCTAAAGTAGGAGTCCCCAAGCTTCTTTATCTCATATTAAAATTTTTGTAATAACCAGAGGACCGGAGGATAAATGTTATCTTTGAAAATCATATAAAAACAAAGTATCTTCATTTAAAAATTTTTTAATATTGTAACGTCGAAATTTCTTGGCGGACCGGATAAAACTGCCAGTGGACCGTAGATTGGGGACTCCTAATCCAAAAGATATAACGTACCGTATGTAATATTTGGATTTTTGGTTTTTAGAATCGTGACTAGTGACGCCACTCTTTTCAGGAAGGAAGCCGAACCGATGTATCCAGTAAGTAAGTGCGTATAATTGTCCAAGTCATTTTGCGCTAGGCCATCAACTAGGTCCTCTAAGGAAGTAATTGTAATTGAGAGATATCTCATTGCTGCACCAGCATTATTGCATCATCTATTTCCCATTAAGGTCTTACCTAAATCTTTATCATTGAGTACTTGGCCTTTAAATACTTTATAACCAGTATGATTGGACAATTGTACAGAGTTAATCGCATCAACCTCAAAGCCTAATAGCTAATAAAAAATTGATCTCTTAATTCACTTGGTGTTTCGTCAAGTATGTGAGATGTTTAGTCAATTGTTACTTATATTAAAAAATTGAAGCTAAATTCAAGCTAATTCAAGCTGTTCTAGAGGCAGCAGATTATCGAAAACAAACCAGCATCGGCAAGAATTATATTTAAATCAAAAAATATCTCAGAATGATAAGTTAATGACTAATATAGATAAGTCCGTCGTTGCATTTGGAATCTTATCTCTAATGTTCTATATGCCTTCGCGATGATCAATCATGATTGATCATGATCAACGCAAGAAGGAATCCAGCGACGTCGGATTATCGCGGTTTCGTCAAAGATTCGCGGATTGAAGACGGGGGGGGGGGAGAGGTAATGATCGACGTCGAGAGGAATTCAAGGATAGTCACGAGATCTCTACGTAGAATTCACCTGCAACGGAAAAGTAGCGCTCTTGTTGCCGACGTATCCTGATACTACGTGGCTCTGGATCGAGAGGATGCGCGGTGTCTTCGCGGAGCACATGATTGCAGATCAGTTGATTTACGCCTTCGGATACACTTCCCTCGTTGACACACTTGCCGCGATCCACGTCAGCTGGTTAACTTGTGCAACCTGTGCGACCGACACTTGCTGCTGCGCGCTACCCGAATGGGCGAATGACTATAAACTCCAAGTGCCGGCAAGTGCTTGAAGTTGGCGGTGTTGGCGCTTATGTAACCTGTTTACCGAACAGTGCAGTGACCTGAAGATAGCGGGCCCCAAATTCTCAGATTTCTAAAATAAGTTCTAAAATAAGCTCTTTATGACTGCACTACATTGTACTTTATTCACTTAAAATGAAATGGATATATGTATAACATATTGGAGAGAAAAAGTTGAAAAGTTCAGCTGCAAAGAACAATCAAGAAAATCATATTATAAACATATTTTCTTATGTGTAACATGTAACATCTATATTTATTTCTTCAAAAAACATAATTACTATTAAATTTAATTTAATTACTATTAAAATTATTATAAAAGTATATATTTATATATTATATATTTATTAAATATTATGTGTAATATATTATACGTGTGTTATATTTGTTTCATTTTGCAAATGTAAAAATTACAGCGGAAATAAACTTCATGGAAAATTTCATGGTCAAGCTTTCTCGCAGAAAAACATATAATATAATAAAAATATTATAATAATAAAGATATTATATTATAATATATAATTATAAATAAAGATATAATGAAGTATAATTATAACGAAATTTCTGGCTTAAAGAAAGAGAGTAAATATTTAAGATACATGTATATTTTTAAAATCTTCTTTAAATCTAAAATCTTTATACCTTACATTTTAATTTATTTTAATTAATTTTGCTTTTCAAATTTAAAGATTATATAACATTGTTTTCGAATTATTTTGTAAAATCAAGATCTTATTATTACAAGATTTACAAGATTTTATTATTATTAGCTTATATCGACTGAAACTGTACTTTAATTCTTTATTTAACATTTTCAAAATAAACTGAAAGATTCCGCTGAAAGACGATGGCGCGTCTGTACGATTTTTATTTCAAGCTGCACGTTCGCGCGTTGCCACTGCTGCCACGTCTAAACTTCTCTGCATCTATGATCAGGTGCATGGTGATCGTCTAACCTAAAATGCGCACCTCATGCACCCCGCACCCGAGATAATTCACGATAACCGTCTATTTTCGCGGTAACGCTATTTTTCCTCGCACCCGCTCGTAACGTAAGTCGTCCACGGGTAACGCAGGTCGTGCCACACGTCGTTTTTACACGAGTGTCGCGAGATTGACGGGCGTGAACCGTCGTCGCGACGTGTCCCCGATCGCGGGCAATTACATAAATAACCCGTTTTACAGACTTAATGACAATGCTGCAGTTCAACGCGATGCTGTGCACAGCGACCGCCAGGCTCGCGCCTCGCTCATCCTGGCGTTTCACCGCTCTCGTGGCCTGCAATTCCAGCACGGCGGTTACCGGCGAGCAACCCGCTGCTGCGTCGATGAACGTGAGTGCAATTGACAGCGACCTAATCGCTTCTTTTCTACGATAAACTTAAGCTCTGATAACAAAATCTTTCTTGTTCTATGTGTACTTTAATGTTTGGCTCGCAATATTTCGACAAGAAAGATTATCAGCTGTGTATTTTGTAGGAGGACAACAGTGTTAAGTTCTCAAAAACGCAAGCCGTCTCGCAGAAGGAAGAGGAGCAGAAGCCTAAAGAGACCGGTATCCAGACGAAACCTCATACAGAGGGAAGGAGCAATAGAAAGAAATGGTCGAATGAAAATGATACAATATTTTTCAAACAATTTCAAGCGGCCAAGTCTGTGAACGACTTGCTGGACTTGGCAGTATTACCAACTCTGTCTATAACCAATGCCCTGAAGCTGATATCAAGCATAACTAATCAGATAAACAGCGGGAAATCGCAGATGGTAGACATCGAGACTGACGAGAGATTTATTCATCTCAGGAAGCTAGTTAAGAACAGTGGTGAGAAAACTCGTGAGACGTCGAACAATCTGTCAAAATACTCCCAGTTATCTACACCTTCAATGATTGCAGTAAGTATGATATTGTACATTTTTAACACCCTGCGCGGACACTGTGGGCCTTTTAAGACACAGTCAATTTTTTATTTGTGATTAGGAATAGGGAAAAAATTGCAACAGTTCCGGCCTATGTAAGTATAGAAATCACTTTCTGCAACTTAAAGATAATACATGAATTTTTATAGATTTTTTGTAACATAGAACGCTTTCAAAAACACTTTAGACTTAAAAGTCCCAGGGTGTCCAGGCGAGTGCTCCAAAAACATTGTGTCCGCGCAGTATTAATATGTGTAAACATTGATGTATTTTTATATGAGTGTTCATGCCTGCAATGTTAGCAGTTATCCACACTTGCTATAATTGCACTAAGTATGATGTTTGTGTATTGAATATATACATATATGCATTCACGTATTTTTATGTAATAAAGGTGATAGCGTCGTTAAGAGAACAAGGGAAGAGAAATACTCCGCTATTAAAGATGTTGTCGTACAATATTGTCAAATACAACATAGAACTGGATTTGAAGCAATGTGCAACTTTGTTATATAGCATGGCCGTACTTAATTTTCGAGACAAGGTACGCAACACCATTGCATTATATTGGTCTGAAAGCAAGTTCTATTTTGTAAATGACATGTCTCGAATAGGTCTTGTTGGAAAAAATCACATCTGACTTACTAGCGTGTATACCAAACAGCCAAAACGCCGCCATAAACAAATCCATAATAACGTCACTCGGATTTCTGCGTTACAAGAATGTGAATGTACTCGATGCATTCTGCGACACGTTCTTTAAGAAATCAATGGATTACACATTGTTGGATTATTCATCAATACTACAAACGTTTGCGGCTCTACAATATAAATCGCAGAAAGCAAATTCATTTATCGAGGTATAGCGAGAAAATTTCACGACGTTTCCATCTTTATTTTAAACATTAGAAGTTTCTCTTTAACACCGTAAGAAAATTATATTTTCTTTGATATAGATGTATATACATGTTTACTAATTAATTTTGTGACCAGAAATTTGCAGACCACGCAAACCCCTTTCAACTGTCTTGGACTGAATGGTTGGATATTGTTTGGTCCTTAGCAGTTTTAGATGCAGTGACACCACAACACGTAAGATCCGTGCTGGAGCCTGCATTTATAGAAAATTTAACCGGTTTGTATCTGTTGTTAACGTATCTAATTAATATAATTAATTAATCTAATTAATTTAAATAATGTATCTAAGGTTTATTGTCATTTTCTTGTATTAATAATATTAATTTCATATTATGATTTATACAGCCTCTAACCAGCTAAATATATCAAAGGTATTAAAATTATTAAATATCAACGCCGTTGCACAATTTGTACTGACGAATTATAAAGGTATATATTAGGAGACATTTATTATTATACTTTTATATTTATTAGTATACTTTTAACAATTCTAGGCATTATTATTGTTTTAAATTACAGGACCTCTTTTAAAGGAAGACTCAGAATTTAATAATGTGTCTATAGTTAGATCAAAGGAAAAACAAATGTACATAAATGCGTTGTTGGAAACACTAACGGAAACATTACTGTCTCCATCCTATTTTAAAACAAATTTTGATACAGGCATGGGCTTCTCGTTAGGTAAGTTATTTAAATAAAATAATACCAGTATAATCTCATAGAATTTGATTTTGAAATTGCAAATGCGTGAAAAAGAATATTATATTAAATGTAAATATTATGTTAAATATTAAATGTTATGAATATTATGTTAAATGTTTAATTTATTCGTAAATAAACACGAGGATCATTATTGCATTGATATCTAAATAAACTCGGCAAAGTTATATACTGGTATTAATCCATTCTTTTTCACAAAATAAAATTTAGAGTAAGTAAAATATAGATATTGCATTAATCTTATTGAGTAAAAAAAATACTTGATTCCGTATTTTTAGATGCGGAATATCGCATAAATGATCAACATAGGCTTGTAAAAGTGGAAGATTGGAATGAACAGTCGAATAATGTACGAAGGTACGTCTACATGTTATTAAATCGTCCAATAAAAAGAGTGTAGTGCATTAATTTTGTTTTCAAGAGAGTACCCACCTATATTAGTAAAAGTTAGATTATTAGTAAAAATTATTCTGTAATTCAGTAAAACTTGGTTAAGATGTAATTTTATTTATTTCCAAATAATAGAAAATTAATAGTTTCAACACTGAAATATAAATGCGAAATTTATAATCATGTATAACCATTTCAGGATAGGAATAATGGTGCACGATTATCGTGATTATTGCATAGGACAGAACGATCTCGTAGGATCGACGTATTTATACACACAATTATTAAAAGCCAGAGGATACAACCTCATACAACTTTCTTATGAAAACTTCAGTGTACAGGACAATATAAAAAAAAGGATCAATTACTTGAAGCAATGCATGAACAGTGTACAGGAAGTGACGTCGGTAAAACAAACAAATTCAATATAGTGCAGTGTTGGCTTAGTCCAATAAAATCCAAATAAATATTTAAAAAGAATGTATAAATAGACGCTTTCATTGTTCCTTATATATTCCAAATTGGGAAATTAATTAAATGTTATTGCTTAGTTACTAAATCAGATTTCATTTTATTACCGCATTATCATGCCACAAACCACCGGGGAAAAAAGGACAAAAAACCATCCCTTTAAATACCTACAATCTTTTTATCTTGATAGTCACTTTATTTACATTGAATATTTTATTTCACTATCACTTATGAATTAACTACTTCACTCTTTATGTTTCACTGCTGTTCCAAGTTTATTACTGTGGTGGCCGCCAAGGTTCGATCTTTGGTCTCGTGGTGCTGTAGGGCATGTAA